GTACCGGGAAAACTGAATCAAGCGACAAATAGAATCAGTTGGCTTTGTAATGCTCAACAGCCCCAGAGTAAAACTGGAGAAGATTGCAGCAAGAAGGAGAAAACTGAGCTGTCTATTCGAGGCTTTCACAATTGGTGTCTCGCGGTATTTCACAAACACAAGTAACATAGCCACGGTCATGCAAAATCCTAACGCTGTCACGCAAGAAAGGAATACACCAGCTGCATCTCTGAAGTGAAGGTTTTTCACTGGCAGATCTTCGCATTTGGTTTTATCATCGTTCGGCTTTTGTTTACGCGGGCACTCCGTGCAGTTGGTAGATCCAGGTGACTTGCTGACTGTGCCCCCCGGACATGTAACGCACTTCCAACAACACGAAGTGGTTACCTCCTGCCTAGTTCCGGGGGGACACACTTGACTGCAGAATGAGGACGGTACCTTTGTAGCAAAAGTAGCGTTTGTCCATTTGATCGCAGAGTCGTTCAGTGACAACCTTGGTTTCTTACTACTACTCCAGGATCCTACCAAGGCCTTCTTTGAAGCTCCCGTGCTATTTATTTGGACGTTCACAATTTCAAAGAAAGAATTCTTGGGATCACCTTCGCGGTCAAATTCTACAACGCCAGTGAGCCCTTTGAAACTGACATTTTTTAAGAGGGACAACAGATCCTTTCCGTCAGTTGCTAATGGCTTTCTATCAGAGCATGCTTCCCCCGAAAGTTCGCAGTTTAAAGCGCTACAACTAAAATACTTGTCTAATGCAAATGCCACGGCATAGACGGCGTCTATAAGGTAGCCAAGGTAAGGGTCGAACAGTTTGGAAGCTTCATTTGGTGACAAAGGTACATTAGAGCACTGTGGGTCGGCTGTGCTGTCTGCGTCAGGGGTGCAATTCCGAAATTTTTCCCAGTATTCTTCCCACCACGGATTCCTTCCTAAACGAGTTTTACTCCGCGTTAAAGAATACAAGTAGTTCAGGAAAGTTTTATCTTTGCGATCGCGTGGCTGAACGCCAAGGGCGCCGTCCAGTAGACGAAAATACGGTCCAAGCAGTCCGCTGTCCTCTGTACTCGTTCCATCACCGAGAATCCAGGTCCGTTTCCCAAGCTTTTGCCTGTGAACTTCCTCAAAGAACAGCTTCGCATATCCTCCAAAGACCCACACCACAATGCATTTGACATTTTTCTGCTGTTTAATGCGTGACACAATCTGTTTAATATCAGTGACAGCACGAAGACGTGGAACAAACTCTGAAAAGGCCAAGCAAAAGGTTCCTCGATTATACGCCTCTTTCTGTAACGCAGAGACACCAAACCGCCCGTAAGAATCATCTAGAGCTATTGTACCAATATATGTCCATTTGAAGTATTCAAATAGATCTGCTTGCACTTTCGCTTGTTGCCTGTCAGGCGGAACTGTTCTTAAGAAGTACGGATATTGATCGGAACTAAGCTCTTCACTCGTTGCAGCAAAGCTTATTATCGGGATTTTGGCCATGCTGAGAAGAGTCGCTATCTGAACAGAGCTGGCTGAGTCGTACGGTCCAATTATTGTAGAAACAGGAGCAACAGCATCTTTGCTGTAGCAAGAAGTTGTTTCGTTATCCATGCTGAAATTTCTGTTCGTATACATATGATACAAATCTGCATCTCGCACAAACTCGTATGTTTCTTTAACAGCAACAGACACAGTTTCGCAGTAGTCACGGATGTCGAAGCCGAGAGTAACATTCGGAAGCAATGAAGGGTCATTGTTGATTTGCTCGATCGTGAAGATCATTGCTTCAGCGTGACCGAAACCAACGGGAAAGATGTCTACACCGCATTTGTCTTTAGAATCCTTGTAATGTAACACTGTGAGTCCTCCAAGCATGACATCACCAGCTTGAAAAGCTC